TCCATTTTTTTGCCTTAGTTAAATTCCATTTATCTCTCTCGCTTGCTCACGGGTACGCTCTCTCTTTAGTGGAAGCCGGTTAGATTAATTTAGGCTGCATACGCACTTGGCCACTTGCAGCACAAAAAGGTAGCTTTTCCCAATCTGTGCTTGTCCTCAACATGCGGCTTTCAGTCTAGATTGATTCTAGATCCTGCTCATTGGCAAAGGTGGGCGCGGTGGCTTGATATGCATTTGAAACCCTCCCCTTGGTTGTGTTATCCATGCCTTTTCCTCCCTGCACATGCCTTGGGTGAATGAAAAAGGAAGCGATGATTGCGACCTTAATATACACCCATCCACAACATCATTGGGCACATGTGGATACATTGCTCATTTCCGGGACTGCTTGCATCTGTTTTCAAATAGACACACTGTGGGGTAATGTAGAATTAATCTGCAACCAGCTTTTATTTTTAGAATGGAGCCGGTTTCTCAAGAACTGCTTTTCAGGGGTAAAAACTATGCAAGGGATCTAGATTGTGTGTGGACAAGATAGAAAAAACTAGTACGCAGTCTCCGCTGGAAGAATTCTAGAATACAAAGGTCGTATGTACACAGCCTTGGGGTCATGCCTTGTATGTCAGTAGTATGACACAGAATCTCTTTATCACAATGGTAGTCTACCCTTCCTATAAAGAGCTAACAGAACCGCAATGCCTTATTTCCAGTTCATCCTCACAGTGACCCTGGGAGTCAGGTTAGACTGTGACATGGTGGTTGGCTCAAGGTCATCCACTGAGTTACAAAGCGATTTGAAGTCTGTTGTTTCTGCTCCAACAGAGCAGAAATCAATATTCACAGATATCCAAAACTTTCTACCATGTGCAACTGAATGTGAAATTTTGAATTCATTGTTCAGATTCACATTTAGAATGTGAAATTTTAACAAAACTTTGAGTGTTTTGATATCTGTTTTTGCAGCATCCAGCTTGAAGTCCCAGAAGCTGTCAAATACTAAATACCATTGTGTGTTATCAACTCCTGCCTGATACTAATACCATTCCATGTTCGTTTTTCAAATATTAAATACATCTTCCTGCCAATCATCAAATGCTGTCAACCACTAAATGTCATTAAATACCAGTTCCCATATATAGTTGGGTACCAAGCAAATATCATCTATCAAATGCTGTCAGATACTAGTACCATTTCTTGCCAACTGTAAAATACTATCAGATATCAGGTACTCAAATATCATGGGGTATTTTAAAGAATAATATTAAATAGTAATGACAAAGAGATAAAATTATAGGATGAATAAAGAAAACAAAATACCTGTTTTTGAACGTATCCATTGATGAAGATTTTGGTTTTCAAACGGCGTAAACCCAGAAGTATATGCTTCAGTTTTCAAAAACGTATCGGAAGTCGAACATGCCACACGGCTTCCATATTGAGTTTTTCGTTTTGAGGCTTCCGTACTGAGTTTTCGGTTTTCAAACGTTTCAGAACTCGAACAGTCTTCCAGAACAGATTACCTTCAAAAACCGAGGTACCACAGTAAAGATAAAGGAAAAAATACAAATACAAACATGTTCAGAGTCCGTGATAAGGATACCAGATGTTGACGCACAGTCGTTCAGACTATTTCAAATTGTAGATTCCTGCAATGCAGGAATCCGAACAAAAACATAGAATCATAGAATCATAGAATCATAGAATCATAGAATCATAGAATCATAGAGTTGGAAGAGACCACAAGGGCCATCGAGTCCAACCCCCTGCCAAGCAGGAAACACCATCAGAGCACTCCTGACATATGGTTGTCAAGCCTCTGCTTAAAGACCTCCAAAGAAGGAGACTCCACCACACTCCTTGGCAGCAAATTCCACTGTCGAACAGCTTTTACTGTCAGGAAGTTCTTCCTAATGTTTAGGTGGAATCTTCTTTCTTGTAGTTTGGATCCATTGCTCCGTGTCCGCTTCTCTGGAGCAGCAGAAAACAGCCTTTCTCCCTCCTCTATGTGACATCCTTTTATATATTTGAACATGGCTATCATATCACCCCTTAACCTCCTCTTCTCCAGGCTAAACATGCCCAGCTCCCTTAGCCGTTCCTCATAAGGCATCGTTTCCAGGCCTTTGACCATTTTGGTTGCCCTCCTCTGGACACGTTCCAGTTTGTCAGTGTCCTTCTTGAACTGTGGTGCCCAGAACTGGACACAGTACTCCAGGTGAGGTCTGACCAGAGCAGAATACAGTGGCACTATTACTTCCCTTGATCTAGATGCTATACTCCTATTGATGAGGCCCAGAATTGCATTGGCTTTTTTAGCTGCCGCGTCACACTGTTGGCTCATGTCAAGTTTGTGGTCAACCAAGACTCCTAGATCCTTTTCACATGTACTGCTCTCAAGCCAGGTGTCACCCATCTTGTATTTGTGCCTCTCATTTTTTTTGCCCAAGTGCAATACTTTACATTTCTCCCTGTTAAAATTCATCTTGTTTGTTTTGGCCCAGTTCTCTAATCTGTCAAGGTCGTTTTGAAGTGTGATCCTGTCCTCTGGGGTGTTAGCCACCCCTCCCAGTTTGGTGTCATCTGCAAATTTGATCAGGATGCCCTTGAGTCCATCATCCAAGTCGTTGATAAAGATGTTGAATAAGACCGGGCCCAAGACAGAACCCTGTGGCACCCCACTAGTCACTCTTCTCCAGGATGAAGAGGAACCATTGATGAGCACCCTTTGGGTTCGGTCAGTCAGCCAGTTACAAATCCACTGAGTGGTAGCATAGTCAAGACCGCATTTTACCAGCTTCTTTACAAGAATATCATGGGGCACCTTGTCAAATGCCTTGCTGAAATCAAGGTAGACTACATCCACTGCGTTCCCTTCATCTACCAGGCTTGTAATTCTGTCAAAAAACGAGATCAGGTTAGTCTGACATGACTTATTTTTCAGAAATCCATGCTGACTATTGGTGATCACAGCATTCCTTTCTAGGTGCTCACAGACTGTTTGCTTAATGATCTGCTCCAGAATCTTCCCTGGTATTGATGTCAGACTGACTGGGCGGTAATTATTTGGGTCCTCTCTTTTCCCCTTTTTGAAAATAGGGACAACATTTGCCCTCCTCCAGTCTGCCGGGACTTCGCCTGTTCTCCAGGAATTCTCAAAGATGACTGCCAGTGGTTCTGAAATCACATCTGCCAGTTCTTTTAATACTCTTGGATGCAGTTCATCTGGCCCTGGAGACTTGAATACATCTAGACTAGCCAAGTATTCTTGTACTATCTCCTTAGTTATTCTGGGCTGTGTTTCTTCTGCTGAATCATTTGCTCCAAATTCTTCAGGTCGGGCATTGTTTTCTTTATCGGAGAAGACTGAGGCAAAGAAGGCATTGAGGAGTTCAGCCCTTTCTGTGTCCCCTGTTTGCATTTCACCATCTTCTCCTCTGAGTGACCCCACGGTTTCTTTGTTCTTCCTTTTGCTACGAACATACCCATAAAAGCCTTTTTTGTTGCTTTTAACCTCTCTAGCAAGCCTGAGTTCATTTTGTGCTTTAGCTTTTCTGACTTTGTGTCTACACGTGCTGGCTATTTGTTTGAATTCCTCTTTGGTGGTTTCCCCCCTTTTCCATTTTTTGTACACATCCTTTTTTAATCTTAACTCAGTTAAAAGTTCTTTAGATAGCCACCCTGGCTTCTTTAGGCACCTTCCATGTTTCCGTCTCATTGGTATTGCCTGAAGTTGTGCTTTTACTATCTCCCTCTTAACAAACTCCCAGCCATCTTGAACTCCCTTTCCTTTTAGTATTACTGTCCATGGGATCTCACCCAGCACTTCCCTAAGCTTTATGAAGTCGGCTTTCTTAAAGTCGTGAAATTGAGTCCTAGTATGCTTGGCTGCTCCTTTCCGCTGTATAGTAAACTTCAGAAGAGCATGATCACTCGCGCCTAATGATCCTTCCACTTCTACCCCACTAACCAGGTCATCAACATTGGTTAGGACCAGATCTAAAATGGCTGTTCCTCTTGTTGCTTCTCCCACTTTCTGGACAATGAAGTTTGGTATCCAAATTTTCAAAGGAAATCTCTGAAGTGAAATTGTTTCAGGTGTAGCTCAATAACCTTTTTACTACATATTATGTCAGTGTTATATGAATGGCACTGCTACATTTTGGAATAGGTTCTAGCTCAGTTGGTAGAGCATGAGATTCTTAATTTCAGGGTCCTGGGTTTGAGTCCTACATTGGGCAAAAGATTCCTGCATTGCTGGGGGTTGGACTAGATGACCCTCAGGGTTCCTTCCAACTCTACAATTCTATGATTCTATGAAATATAAGGAACAGAAAGGGGGGGAAATCACATTGTTTCTAGCCTAGCAGCTAGATGTAATCTTGTTTAGGTAACCAAAATTGTTCAATTACCACAGTTTGTGTGGGGAAGTTTGCTTTGGGTGTTTGTCTTTGGCAGTGTAGAGGCTCCAAAATGAGGCCATCGGTGCAACAAGCCCACAGGTCTGCTTCTCCTTTTGCATAGCTACAAGCATCCTTTTAGACTCTGCTGAAAGACGAAGTACCCGGAGATGTTTTTAAGTAGCTGGCTCTTTAATGTCTCCCAACCATTTCCTCCTTACTACTGAGAATTACCTTCTGGTGCCTGATAACAATTTCAACAGCAGGCGACCCATCCATATTTTTGTAGATAATTAGCAGAACGGCTATACAGCAGAAGTGGGTCATCCTGCACTTGTTATTCACAGATGGTTCAATATAATGGATTTTGGAAGCGGCATAACAAAAAAAATTGATACCAGTTTCAGAGAGGCAGAAGAGAGCAAAGAAAATCAAGGGGAAATGTTTATGGAGGGTTGTAGCAGGTGCATCTCTAATCGCTTACCAGAGTAAAGGCATGATGTGGTCCAGGTATTGTTGCAGCCCCGCACAATGTAGTGTTAAAATGGACAAGCATCTGCATTGACATCTCTCTCCCTCTCTCTCCTTCCCTATCTCTGCCAGTTTGAAACATTGCCTCTTGCTGGAGCACTACCAGGGGAAAACATAAACACAATGATGAGACCATGAAGATAGCCTTCATCTTCAAGAGGCTACCCGGGAAGCTGGTAAGAGGCCAGAAGTAGCTTAGCTCCCATCCCAGAGGTGTACCCAACTGCACTCGTTATTTTCTCCCATGTAAGACCACTGAAATATATATATTCTTTGGGTTTCTTATTACCTTGCACCATAAGATCCAGGGCAGCTTACAATCTGAAAATAAAAATAAAAATTAAATAAAATGATTCATGATCAGGATAATAGGTTTTGTGTGTGTGTGTGTGTGTGTGTGTGTGAGAGAGAGAGAGAGAGAGAGAGAAGATGCCACACAGATTTCTGTGGGAGAGCCAGTGTGGTGTAGTGGTTAAGAGCGGTAGACTCGTAATCTGGTGAACCGGGTTCGCATCTCCACTCCTTCACATGCAGCTGCTGGGTGACCTTGGGCTAGTCACACTTATTTGGAGTCTCTCAGCCCCACTCACCTCACAGAGTGTTTGTTGTGGGGGAGGAAGGGGAAGGAGAATGTTAGCCGCTTTGAGACTCCTTCGGGTAGTGATAAAGTGGGATATAAAATCCAAACTCCTCCTCCTCCTTCTCTTCTTCTTCTTCTTCTTCTTCTGTGGGAAGGAAATTCCACAGCTTAGGGGCTTCCACTCTTGAGGGTGATGGAACTGGCAAGAGGGACCCAAATGAGGATCTAAATGTCTGAGAGGGTTTAGTTGTAGGGGCAATCTATCTGGAAGACAATTGTATTTTGAAGAGACAAGTGATCTGACATGGTCATCTCTTCCTGCTTCTGTTTATTTCCCCTCTAGCTCTTGTTCTACTCTTTGATGGCTGAGAGCAGCCTTTAATGTATAATCTGGTGGAAGGAAGAAGTGATAATGCAGGGCACTTTCTGACCTTCTTTGATGTTAGACATTGTTTGGAGGATCGTGCAGTATTGGAAGAGGGGGCTAGCTAATTAATAATCTGTACAAGCTAGTTGGGCAAGGCACGTAGGCTAACAATTTAGCTCTCGATAAATCAAATGGATTTGGGGCATAGCTCTCAGAAGCTCCTGCAACCTGAGACTACCTCGGGGTCACTTCGCCACTTCTTGAGGGCTTTCCAGTGGCAGATCAAGGTGCTTGCTTGGTAATTTATATCATGCTTGCTGTTTAGAATAAAATCTTTAATCTTCTCACTCACTTGTGTTTGTATTGCTTCTGAATCTCATTAAAAGAACCACCTTGCAGTTGGCAAGACGCTAGCGAAGGAAATGGTCTTTCATAAGTGAATGGCATAATGCTTGGCCTCTCTCTCTTCTGGGCCTCAACCACCACCACCCACCACCTAATAGCCTAGCCCTTAGCAACAGGAATCCCACAGGGGATTGTGATGCAACACACCCATCGGGTATACAGTATACAAACCTTCTCTTCAAGCACAGACACTCAAATGCGCACAACCCTAACCTGGCTTGCTTCTGAGTTCTGAGCTGGATGTATACCCCGCAAGCGTGCTTTAAATAGGCCTGAGGTGAGAATGGGGATAGGGGTAACAGCATGCTGAGGTCACAAAGGCACTAATGGCAGCCTTAAAGGGGATACGGACAAGGCTGGTTACAATGGCGGACATTGGGGTCTCAAATTTCAGTGGCACCCTGTGTGATGCCAATATTTGGTGCCCCCCTGCCCTAGCCTTCTACATCATAGTTGTGGCACCTTCTACAGCACCCCTGAGGCTCTGTGCCCAGTGCGAACAAACCAGTCCTTCTCCCCTAAATCCGTCTCTCGCTTAGGACAGAGGTCACAGATTCCCTAAAGGCACCTCTCCTCAGCTTCCAAATGGTTTATCTCCCATTTATAGCTAGAGAAAGCAGGGAGAGCACATTATTGAAGAAGATTAATCCCCCCACAATGAAGAGAGGAGAATTCCTATGCTTATACAATAGGTGAATGGGGGATTTCAAGGCTGCTTGCCTCCATGTCTGTATGATTGTGTGTTTGTTTGTGTGTGTGTGTGTGTGTGTGTGTGTGTGTGTGTCAAACAGGGTGCTGATGAGTAAACCCAGCGTATGATTCAACACATCTTTAATCTAGTATTGACTTTCTTCTTTGAGATCTCTATAGCAGTATAAAACCAGCACACAAAAAGTAAATACATCTTGAGCTGGGATTCATGTCTGTGGTGGTGGGGGGAGGAGAAGACCCAAGGGAAGAGAAAGCTCAGTTGGGGCGGGGAGTGAGTCGTTCGTCTCAGGTGAAATCTCTGGTGGGGCATTCATTGTCGTGGCTGTGTGCAAGAGCATTCGCTTGCTGAGAGAGATGGAAAACTAAGATTGACATAAGAAATGAATTCTTTTCTCTCTCCCTTCCAGAGCAAAGCTGAAAGGAATACATGCAGCCAAGTGGAAAAGGGTTGTGTATTTCTCTTTGCCATTTCAGAATGCTAGATTATGGCTCCCTGGCAAATATTGTGTTCATCACGAGGGAAAGAACATGCTCAGACCTTGATGTGACATTGGAGAAATAAGGAGAGGGGGGATTTAGTCTATTAAAAATAAAGGGTGGGAAGCTACAATGAAAGAAATACTTTGCTGACCAAGATGAGTCGTCTTGACTAGGTTTCTATTGAATATTTTCTTCTTTTTTCTATTCAGCTCAAAATCACCATATTTTGTGTATCTGAAGAAATAACACCCCGTACCCAAAACAACCCCTAAACCTGCTGAACATTTCCAATTAAATGCTTCTCAGGGGTCCCTCCATTTTTGTTTTGTGTGTGGGGGGGCACAATTTCCCTCATCTTTCCTCACGCTTATTTTCAGACTCATTGGGATACACTGCTGTTTAATCCATTTAGCTGTATTGACCCTCATCACGTTTGTCTGCAAGCTTCCATGACAGCATCCCCTCAGACAAAGAATTGTGGTTTCACCTTCACTTTCCGGAAACAGTTGCAGACATTTTTGTTCTGACAGGTTTTCCCAGCTGGATAAAGGGGTCTTTACCACAAGTGCCCACTTGTTAGGGTTTTAGTCCTGCTCAAAGTGGAATGGGGAGTGGTTATTGGTTGATTCTTTCCTCCAAGACCGTTTTATCTTCTCCACCACCCATTTTCTTGTAGAACAATGAAACGCCCATGCACTGTGGCTTAGCTGTAGCGAGATGATTCACCTACATATGAACTCAGGTCTGCTGCAAGAAAGCTTCTGGGGAAAGGTGAAGCTTTATAAATATTTGAAATCTTACTGTGAGCACGGGAAAATGTGACACATGTTTTATAATGCAATATCTGCTGCAGCACTATTATTTCAGAGCTTGTCGCCTTTTGTCGACACTCCTCTTGCAATATATGCCATTATTTCAGAGCCAACAGTTAGCACTGTAGCGATGGTTCGGCAGTGGACACTTGCCCTGGACATAGCCTGGGCAGGTGCATGAAATGGGCGCCTTAATATAATGCAATATTTTGAACGTTGTTTTGCAAGAGAAGCGCAGTGGTTCGTGCTTCCTTTTCCTATCTACTGCACTTTATCCTCTGCCCCAAACTATGTTATTTATCTCCCTCTCCCTGTTTGCCTTTCTTCCTCCTCTTTCTGCGGTTCCTTAAATTATTTTTTTAATATATTTTCTGCATATCCAAATTCATTTAATTTACTCATTTAATTATTTACTTCAAATATATACTCTTGTGAACCTGCAGGTTATTACAACCATCCTGCCATTGTTTTTATCTGTTTGCAGTTTACCTGTAAATATTCAATAAAGCATTTCCATTCTTTTATTAAAAGTTTGTTATCTTGATTTCTTATTCTTCTGGTAAGTTTTGCCATTTCTGCATGTTCCATAAGTTTTTGTAGCCATTCTTCCTTTGCTGGGTCTTCTGCTTCTTTCCATTTACCCCATTCAATTCAATGCAAAGGAAACACAGTACTGCAGAAGGGAAGGAGGTTGTAATCAATTGCCTATCATTGGAGACTGAAACACCCGCCATTTCTGTTCCCATTTCCATCAGAATTCTCTTAAAACCCTACTTGCAATTTGCCAGTGGTCTGAAGGACCTGTACAGTGGTACCCCGAGTTAAGTACTTAATCCGTTCCGGAGGTCTGTTCTTAACCTGAAGCGTATGCAACCCGAGGCTGTGGAACCTCAGACCTGTGTGCAAAATGGAACCCTCCCCACCCAAGCCAATCTATCTGGCTCTTAGGACCAGGAAAACTGGGACTGGGAGGCAGACTAGATGGAAAATATCTGGGGATGGGGTGGGGACTGATAGCCCAAAGGTATGTGTGGGGGAACTGAGGGACCTTCAACCCTCCACAAATGTCCCCCCTCTCTCTTTGCACATATGAGGTAAACATGGGCACAGCAATCTCAGATTTGCAGCTGAATGTCTTGTTTTGCCCTTAGCTGGATACCAAAAATGTAATGTGTGAATTGTCCCTAAGTTGAACCCTGGGATGTTCTAAATTTGGATGACTTGACTTGAGTGTATTTAAGTGCATGTATTTAAAGACTTGGTCTAAATGTGATGCAAATCGGAGCTGATACTTGAGCATCTTCTTTGCCTTAGGTAAAAAAAAACAAGAATAAATGTGGTAGTTTTAGCTCTAGGGATTCCCTTGATTTGAAAATTCACTGTGCTTGTGATGGGATAGAAACCAAAGAAAACTGGAGACAAAGTTGGGGAAAACAGTTTCTTTTGTAGGTAGGGCCTGGTGCCTTTAACAACTGCGTGCCCAAAGTTCAGTATATAACACTTTCCCCATCACTGCATCTTCATTAGTGCTCTACTGTATTTTTTTTAGAAGTCAGCATTTTTAGGGGAAAGTTGCCTTTTGAAAGATGCAAGAAGAGGCACTCCCCTGCCTTCTATGATTTTGTGTGTGAATTTAATGTTTACATTTTTCTCCAAAATGCTGCTGCTTCATTGCCTTATTTTTTTCAGAAAAGGGCTTCGCTGCATTAACTCAGCAGGTCTGGAATTATGTGGATGTGATGACATCATAGACCTATGTAGCCAATTAGATTTGATGTTGGTATCTTGGAGGAGAAATGAAGCAGCGTTGCCCATGCTCTCCGCCCCAGCCCCATTATTCTTTGTTGAAGCACTTCAATACCTGTACTTAAAAACAAAACAAACCAGAAATTCCCCCAAGGACATAAACTTGTGAGTAGTTCCCGAGAAATGGGGTGGATGGATGGATGTGAAACTCATCCCCGGTTTTGGCTCTGTTTTAATTTGCATCCTGAGAAAAGCTTGATACGATTATTATTTTTAATGCAACCTCGCAGGCACTGGAGACCTCGCAGCAAAAATGATGGCAGCTCTTAAAAAAGAGGAAGACTCTATGGTACAGCAGAATGCTAAGAAAACATGTCTCGCTGCATTCACATTTTCGCTTGGCTATTAATCATGGGACTTCCATACTCAAAAGCAATGTATTTATAATTGGACCACATCTCAACCGTATAAACCCCACTTGGAAGATATCATAGATGCATGTTATTATTGGTGGATGAAACCCTTAGTCTCAAATAATGTTCCAACTGGCAGTGAGAGTGACATTATAGGATGCTAATTTCCACACACTCCTTCAACTTTCACCCATGGACTGGGACCTGCTGGATACTTGAGAGTTTCCCCATTTTTATTTTTAAAGATCCAGGCAGACAGTAAAATTGGGAGGTTTCCAGAAGCTGAAATGGGGGGAAGGGCTTCTTTTGAAAAGTGGGATTCCTGCCAAATGAACCTCCTTCTTAGGCTTAAACTATTCCCCACGTTCCATATCACCCGAAACATTTATAAAATGCAGAAAAGGTGAGAGACCATCATGAATAAATAATCTGTAATAGCAGAGATTTCCTGATATGAAAAGAAAAGAATTAAGATGCTCTTGTTTTCAAACAGTACCCCAGCAACTGGGGATTTTTCTAGCTGTGAGCTAGAGAATTACAAATTTTAGACAATGATGTATTGACGAAAACAAACAAAGGCTGAATATCAGAAATACTCCAGGGGCTGTCAGAAATCTCAGGAAGGCACTTTCTCTCTTTTTTTAAGGTAGTCCAGCTGACAATGACATTTGACAGCATATATTTTCACTCTTTTGGTAGTGAATTATGAAAACTGTGTAGTTTAAGTATGAGTGTCTTTGGATACTGCTGTTCAAAGATGGAGAAGAAACTTTGGGGTGAAAATTGCTCATAGAACTACAGTTTGTATTATTCCCAGAGAAGTAGCTATGTTAGTTTTTTGCAGCAAAAGCAGGAGACGTGTCATCTTAAAGATTAAAAATTATTAATAAACATGTAAGTCTGCAAGGTGCCACAAGACTCTTTGGTAATTTTATATTATATTTACTTTAGGATCTAGGAAAATGTTTAATGGATGGCAAACTGCCAGCTGGAAGAATAGATTGTGCCTCCAAGTTTTTACTTCGGGAAGGACCAACGCTCAGAGGTAGAGCATCAATGTTGCATGCAGAATGTCCTGAGTTCAATTCTCGGCATCTCCAGGCAGTCGCTGCCAGTCAGAGTGGGTAGTTCTAGCTGGATGGGCCAATGGTCGAATTAAGTAAAGGCAGCTTCCTACGTTCCTAGGTACAAAAATTAAATCGAGGTGTGATCAAATGTTTGCTGACCACTGTTAAGGAAAATATAGTTGTACCTCGGGTTACAGACTCTTCAGGTTAGTGACACTTCAGGTTACAGACTCCGCTAACCCAGAAATAGTACCTCGGGTTAAGAACTTTGCTTCAGGATGAGAACAGAAATCGTGTGGCGGCGGCGCAGCGGCAGTGGGAGGCCCCGTTAGCTAAAATGGTGCTTCAGGTTAAGAACAGTTTCAGGTTAAGAACGGACCTCCGGAACGAATTAAGTTCTTAACCCGAGGTACCACTGTACATGTTTTCCACCAAGAAGGATTCAACACTTTGCTGTAACTGTGCTATATGTCGCATGCATGTAGCATGTGACAGCCATCTTCAAATATGTCACATGGAAGATGGAGCAAGCTTGTTTTCTCCTGCTCTGAAGGGTTGGAGTCAAACCAATGGCTTCACATTACAAGAAAGGAGATTCCGACTAAACGTCAGGAAAAGCTTTCTAACAGTAAGAGCTGATCAACAGAGGAATGGTCTCCCTTGGGAGGTTGTGGACTCTTCTTCCCTGGAGGTTGGGTGGCCATCTGTCATGGATGCCTTAGCTGAGATTCCCTCATTGCAGGGGGTTGGACTAGATGACTCTTGAAGTCCCTTGTAACTCGACAATTCTATGATTCTCTGTAAATACACACATCTGTATGTAGTTCCTTGCCTGAGAGCTCCAGTACTGCTAGACAGTGTTGAGTTTATTATGGAGCCTGGCAATCACAAGGCAGGCAGAGTCATGCAGCAAAACAAACAAAGCAATTCTGGCTCCATGACCTCTGTCAAGAGAATAAAACAGCCCTTGAGAATACAGAAGTAGGCTAGCCCCACTTGAGACCAAGGGTATTCACCATGCACGTGGCTTTATAACTCAACTTGGAGAGGATTTTTGACATATAGTTTCCCTAAACAACGACCACGGAGCCAGAAGCCAAAGGTTTATAGACTTTCCTTGAATCTCTTATAAACAAGTGTGAATTGATCCTGATGGGATTTCATTTTTGTTGCTGCTCTTTGAAAAAACTTCAAGGCAGGTATGCATGTTGTTTCTGGATCACAGCCCCCAGTCTGAGCATTTTGAATGCAAAGCATTTGTTCCCAAACTGTGTGACAGAGTATGTTGTTGTGCTGTAAGAGAGCATTTAGGCTGCCATGGAAAAGAAATACAGCGAGCCCCAAATGCTCACCCACAAAGGAGGTTGCCACTGCATCTCTGCATGATGTACTGCTCTTGATTTTCTTCCTTCTAGTCCGGCTCTGTGGGGAGGCAGATTCATTCTGTCTCTCTGCGTGGGTGCAGATGGATCATTCAGCCACTCCTGATGCAGATGTATGGCCTACTTTTGGCAAGGTATGTCGAATGGGTTTTTGCTCTGAGCTGGCTTCCTCCCATTTGAGAAACATATCTAGAGCAATTACTCATACAGAGCAACAGGAAGTGGATTCCTCTAAATGTGGCTCGTTCATTTCCTGTTGGCTTTTGTTTATTTATGAACCGTCTTGGTATTTCTCCTTGAAGTCAAAGGTGGCATACAAATAACAGTAACGATAATATATTTTTAAAATAAATTATTCCACTATGTAAAGGCCCACTATTTCAGTAATAAGGGTGAAGTGTTTGGCTAATTCTGTTTCAGGGGAAAAAAAAGACCTGTGGTCCTCACTGGTAGTTTGGGAAATATAACAGAAATGGGGGGGGGGGAATCAGTTGGTCAGTCAAGTGGGCCTGCAGTTGGTCAGTCTAGTTCTTCAATAGCAAAAGCTCTCCGATTTTGTAATAGCAAAACTCCATACTCTTGGGCAGGAGATATAGAAGTAGAATCAGCCGTACCAACAGGCTAAAAAATAGCTTCTATCCGTGGGCTGTTAGGCTGTAGAATGAAAAATAACATCACAAAATTGACTTGCGAGGTGGTGTGTTGTTCGATAAGAGATTGAGTGTTGTTTTTTTGGGGGGAGGCTCATTTAATTTCATTGTA